CGCAATGTGCTCTGTATGAAGAGTAAAGGAGAGGGGGCAAGAGACAGAAAGAAGGCAGAGGCGACACAGTTAAGTAAATGTCACAGGAGATCATCCATGTGTGTGCAGGTACGTCACAAACTGAGAAACTGTTTAAGAAACTGTCGTTCCCAGGAGACTTGAATTCGATTTCTGAGTTGGGGGGGGGTATTTTTATAGAGTATCTTGTTCTTTTGGCAGGGATGTTGTATCCCTCTCGGCCTAGCGTAAAACCCTGCTTCTAAAATGACCTAATTTGTGTCAACACAGGCATAAAACCATCTGCATTTTAAAAAAATTTTAAAATCCCTCCCCCAACAAAAAAAAAAAGATCCACAAACAAACAAACTTAAAAAGACATCTGAGACAACATGTTTCACTTACCGCGTTCCCGTGAAGCCTTTTGGGCAGTCGCACGTGTAGCTGGCCAGCCCATCCACACATCGACCCCCGTTGGAGCAGCGGTCCGGCGCGCAGTTGTCTGCGTTCTCCTCGCACAGAAGCCCAGACAGCCCCGCGGGACACCGACACTCGTACTGGTTCCACAAGTCTTGGCACTGACCACCGTTCACACACTGCGACGTGGAGCAAACGTCCTTCCCCTGGCAGTGGTGTACCACCGACTCTACGCGCTCCGCCAGAAATTTATCCTCGATGCGCGAGTTATTCGCGAAAGTATCGTCCGAGAAAAACGGCAATAGAACTCCTCCGATGCGGACTTGCGTCAGACAACCTTTGAACCCTGCCTCCCAACCGTAAGAGTACTGGGTCAGGTCCGTGTTTCCCAAAACTATCTCCCCCTTTCTCAGCATTTCGTCGAAGTTCGTGTTCGTGGTATCCACCAAAGCGGGAGGTGTTTCATCCAGTAGTCGCCCATCCCGAAAGACCTGCAGCCTCACGGTGTCTGTGTCATTGTTGACTTCCAACTTGGCGCTATACCACCTCCCGTCATCCTGAGTTTCGTGCTTCCTCAAGGTCACCGTCTGTGAGAAGTCCGCCGTGAGTTTGTAGTTGACCTCCAGCCGCCCGCCGGCCACCCGCACTTTGAAGAAGTAGTCGTTGTAGCGGAGCAGGAAAATGAGTCCGTAGAGGCCGCGGGTGCGGAAGTCAAAGGTCAGGACAGAGGTGGGCGTGGCGCCGCTCGGGTTGTAGGTGTACGTGACCAGGCTGCTGTCTGAGGTGAAGGACGCCGTGCTGACACCTGATTGGAGGAAATTTATGTAAATGTTTAAAGCGCTCATCACAGACTTGCCAACTTTTGCAAAATCTAGTCAGGGACACCCAATGTTATACAGTGCAGCCTCTCTATAACAACATCATTGGAACCAGAAAACAAATTTGTTACAGAGAGTCGTCGTTATAGAGAGGCAACCAAAATATTACTAATGATATATAAGGAAAAAAATCGGATCGGGACCTAGGCACCATGCCGTTATACAGAGGATGTCGTTATATCGAAGGTTGTTATAGAGAGGCAGCTCTGAACCATCAGATCACATGAGGAGTCCATGGGAAGAATGGGAATATCCACAAACTGAAAATCGTTAGCGTACCAATTTTTGAATGCTTGTTAACCCATGACTATATTTCTGTTCAATTATTGGTTGACAATTGTTGTTTGATTTCACATTTTAAAAAACATAACAATAAATCACCAATTAAACAAATAATATGAAGTCTGAGTCCACAAGCTTTTAAAATTGACACCCTCACAAATTCCAGTTTGTGACTATGCCCATTTTTCCTGTAGACTCCTCATATAACAACGCATTAAAATTACATCAGCTGAGACTGGTTTGGTGTAGTGTTTGTCATAAATCTCTCAAATTCCTGGTTGCCAAGTCCCGAGAAATTCAGGACAGTTGGGAAATCTGTCATCGAAACAATCTAGAGCAGGAGTACCAAACGGAGCCGCTCAAAGGGTCAACATCAAATTAAACTTTTAAAGTTGCCGGCCAAACTGGATAAACATTCAATAAGTAGTGGAAAACTAAACATCTTTTGAACAATTATAAATATTAAAACAGACACAAGTTAAAAACAGGGTTCCTACCATGAACTCCCCACCAAATTCAAAGAGATTTCAAGGAGAAATTTTAAAAAATTCAAGGAGATTTGGTCAAGAAATTCATGCCGTTTTCGACGGTGCACTCGCATCCCGAAAGCCTATTTCTGATAGGCCTACTCTTGTCCGAAAGAAATCATAGTTTCGATTGTCCGTGAAAAAGTTTGTTCATGTCCGATCCGGCAAAATTCAAGGACTTTTGAAGGAGGTTCCTCAAATTCAAGGAGTTTTCAAGGAAATTTTTCCTTGAATGCAAAATCAAGGATTTTTCAATGATTCCGTGAATTTAAGGAGGCTGCAGGAATCCTGTAAAAATAATAACAAATCAAGGCATTCCAATTTAAGTTTGTCAGAGCTAGATGTTTCGCACCTTTTCTCGACAACAAGTTCGTTTATGTCTGCGGTAAGGTTCTATGTTAATGGAGATTCTCAGAATGGACTATGCAGCAAGAATTCTCTCGCGGGCCAGATAAAGATCTAATGGTCCTCTGTGCCGGATGTGGGTCATAGGCCTTGAGTTTGACACCAGTGATTTACATCAAATTAAGAGGCCGGCTGCTTCGACCCTGCCTGACAAAGCCAACCCCAGCAGAGTGGTCAGCAAAATCCCAGCACAAAACAAAACCATGCTTGATTCACTATCTTCCCCACCAGAGAATCAAACCCATATCCTCTGCTTAGTTTTAGTTTTAGTAGAGGTTTCACGGCACTTGCAACACAACTAGGTCATTTAAGTGCTAAAGATTAGAGGTGTAACAAGAGAGTAACAAGCACAAAAAAAGGAGGAGGAGAGAGAAGGAAGATAGCTTTTGATAGGAAAGAAGGATCAAACCACACCAGAGCACTCGCCAACAACCCACTAAACCCACGTCTTCCACGTCCAACAGCGATGAGCCTAACAGTTACACAACAGAAGTATTTTGTATGAGCAGGTGTTTTACGGCACTATCGACTCAGTTTTTGTTCATGTAAGCGCCAAGAACAGAAGCTTGCTGATGAACAGGGTATAGGGACTACTGACAGGACTTACTAATAATAATAATAATAATAATAAATGACATTTATATAGCGCTCAACCCCGATTAAAGTACACAGGCTCTGAGCGCTTTACAATACAGTACAACGTACAACAGTAACGTAAAACGTTGTGTTCTGACTAAAGAAAATTACTCTAAATATTCATCTTATTAATTTTAAAACCGAAACGACTTCAGCTGACATCTGAATGAATCAAAAGATTTGATGTCTCTTAAAGTACTTGGTAAAGCATTCCAGTCTTGGGGCCTTGGAATTCAAATGCCCTTTCGCTCATTGTTTTAAGTTTCATAGATGGTAAAAGAAATGTCTTTTTGTCAGGACTTACACTCGTAGCCCGTGGGCAGATTCACACACGTTGCCTCAAGAGGACAACTGCCATAGGAACAGAAGTCAAGCTCGCTGCAGTTCTTTCCCCTGTATCCTCTGATGCAGCTGCAGCTGTTGACAACAAAAATAAGGGAAATAACAAATCAATATACCATGCATGTACTTACAAATCAATATACCATGCATGTACTTTACTAAATAAACAAATAAATGACACTTTATTGATCCCTTTGGGGAAATTTGTATTACTGTAGCAATCATATATACAAAAATACATATACATATTATTCAAATATACATAAAAAGAATTACAAATACACAATATTACACCAATGCAGACAATTTCGCAAATATACTATTGCTGATTGCCAATGTGTAGCATCCTTTTTTTATACAGCTATGGTTATTGTGCCTTGGTCAAAATGAGAATCTGAATCCAACCCACCTGAATGGAATGTAGCAAAGTTCAAAGAAAAAACTGTCCAGCGCAAAACTAAAAATAGAACAAACACAGATCAGTCACTGTCCCATGAACGTGATGAAATCATCTTCGAAGGACGTATTCGTTGGGCTTGTGCAGACTGACGCAATCATAGCCTGCAGATGTGTACATGTAGGTGTGTTTTTACAAACTCTCACAATGACTTCTTTAGATCATTTAGGAAGCAGGCTTCAACCCTGCCTGTCAGGGCCAACCTGGGCTGAGAGAGGGATACAACATCCCAGTAGAAAGACCGAGGTTCTCAATAAAAATTCTCCCCAGTTGGGAATTCAACTCTTGATAATTTTACTTTGACACCGAGTGACCTCCGCCTCCTTCAAAAGTGTGATGTCAAAGGACATGACTCTTATCTTTACTGTGGGGACAAGATAATTAAGGGAGTAGCACACCCTTGGATGATGTCACATTGAGCCGCGGAAAATGGGCTGACGTCATCTGAGAGACACTCACTGAGAGATTCAGTCGCGAGCACAGGACGAGATACCTACAGCACCAATCCTAGACGGGGGCCCCCAAATTCAACGAAGTGCTAGAGTTTATCTATCAAGAACAGTGCTCAGTGAGAGTAGACATCTATCCTAGATGGGGGTCCACTGACAGACCCAACTTATCAGACCGCCAGGTAACTTTACGCAATAGCTTATATACTGACTGGTATTAATAATAGATAGGTATTTTTTTCATCGAAAGCAAGACAAATGAACAACCTTTACGATGATATCAATAACTCCAACTGCCCAGAAATTGACAAGCGCCTGATTTCACTGTCCTTACATTGCGACATATTATTATTACAAAATGTGTGTGTGCATGCGTGTGCATGCGCGCGAGCCTGTGTGCGTACGCGCAGGCGTGCACGAGAGCGAGCGTGCGTGCGTTCGTGTGTGCCTGCGTGTGTGCGAGCGTGTGTGCGAGTGTGTCTTCTTCTTCTTCTTCTTATCGATCGCATCACACTTGAAGTCTAATATCTGTCATAAATTGGGCCGTCCTGCGAGTGTGTGTGCGTGCGTGCGTGCAAGCGTGTGGGAAAAGTGATACATGTAGCACAGTCTTACTTACTTGAAGTCATTGAAGAAGACCGGGTTGCAAGTGCCCCCGTTCTCACATGGGGGGCTCTCTGCACACACGTTGCGCGTGTTCTCCGCGCCCACCGTCACGTTGATGGTGGTTGTGGTTAAGGCCTCGTTCGTTGCGTTCTCCGTGAAGCTGTACAGCCGACCATACACACGCAGGTCCTGGGGGGGAGGTGAGGGGGGCGAGGTGTCAGGGGGTGAGGGGAGGGAGGGGGGTGTCAGGGGGTGAGGGGAGGGAGGGGGAAGGGATTGGGGGAGTGAAGGGGGGGGTGAGAGGGTGAGGGGGGGTGTGAGGAGGTGAGGGTGGGGTGTGAGGGGGTTAGGGGGGGAAGGGTAGGGGGAAGGGTGAGGGGGAAGGGTGATGGGAAGGAGGGGGGAGGTGAAGGGGGGGGGAAGAGGGGTGTGAGATGTGGCAGATGAGGCGAAGGGGGACCAGAAGAATGCAGGAAGTTCATTTTCTTCCTAACCTTTTTCCTCACAAAGATAAGTCGTACATTTATGATTCCTATATTTTCAGCTTCTGCATGCAATTAATTTTGATGTGATGCATGATATGACAATAATCCTATACATCCTAGGCCTGGAATAGCATTTTACATAGGCCGTGTTGGTCAGTTAGTAAAAAATTTCACTTGAAAAAACATTTCCAAAAAATATGCATGCTCAAAATCTCATTTTCAAAGAATGAACAGTTTACCTCAAATTAACAATTAACTTCAAATTAATATAATTATAACAGTTAACTTGCTGCAAATTAACAGTTAATTTCAAATTAACAGTTAACATCGCTCTTCTCTTCCCACAACTCACCTGTAAAACACCTTCAAATTCCGGCAGGTTCAGATTCTGGTTCTGCACTGTCTGGCTGTCGGATGCCGTCTGTCGTCTCTGCCTCGACAAACTTGCCCCAAACCCATTGAGAGCCCAGTATCCTGTCAGCCATTTCCCCACACTGCTCTCTGCCAGGCCAGCCAGTGGACCAGAGGGCGACGACTCGATGAGCGCATCACTCACGTCTCTCTTTCTCCGACTTTCAGTCCTCGACATTTTTCCAACTTGCAGGGAGCTTACGTAGAATTCAATATTCTGTAGACATCTGTTCACGATATTTTCTTTGGTGTAAACATCCTCCGAGTCGACAGTCACGGTGAAAGTGTTCTGCTCGAAGGTCGCGGTCAACAAATGTCTTTCACCATCGGAGATAAATCGTGACGTGGTAAACTCAAAGAAGGTGCCACACTTCATGAAGTCACCGGCTAGGACATTATTTTTTATCTTGAGCGTTATGTAGTTCTCACTAGTCTGCGGCGTTGCGGCATTCGTTGCGTGGACGATGAAGGCGTCTTCTTGTCGGGTGATGATGAACACAGACAGCGAGACGGGGTTTTGTGATGGCGGGACTGTGTATGTGGCATATGTGCCTGGGTACTGCCCAAAGGTTGCAGGTACGTATTCTGGGGAGGGTTAAAAAAACAAAGGTGAATGAAGTTTTTATCAGTGTTTTCTTTTTATGTCTCATGTCCTATTCTCATGGGAGCCAGATGATATTTAAGTTTATGACATGTTAGTTACAGGGATGCCAAATGATTTTTTTTTAAACCTCGGAAAATCCATAATTTTGCCTCATGAAAGTCACAACTCTTGTAATTTTGCCTCATGAAAGTCACAAGTCACAACTCTTGTCATATCTTCGCAGCAAGCCTAGATCTAGGCCTCTCTTTATGCTGAAGTCTCAGCGCGGCAAGCGATTGTATAACGATAACATCCAGTCGGGCTTGCGCAGTGTGTTTTGAGTGGATTAAAAACCTGAACTCATGTTGAAGAAACGAAAGCTGACAATGAAAAATTCTGACAATGAAAATTTCCAACGGACGTAAAAAAAACCCGAAAAAAAACCGGAAAAACCAGGCATTAGGCATCCCTGTAGTTACTATTGGACTAGGTTATTAGACATTGCTAGGGTGGAAAAATCACTTGACAGTTGCAGCTGATGCTTCTGTAATCACCGCTCCTGAAGAAAGATAGCGATATGTGTCCATAAATATGATGATATGACGATGATGACAGCGATGATGATGATGATGCTTAATGAAGAAGATGCATGAAGACGATGTATGATGATGACGATGATGATATGGTGATAAACTGTACAAAGGACCATTTTCCAATCTCTTCCCCCCACCCCCTCCCTCCCTCCCTCCCCCTTTCCACAATGAATAAATATTATGAAGATAACACTCTCCAATATTATTATCAGGAAATATGACTCACCGTTCTCACAGGAAGTCCCGTAGTATGGGCGGAAACAGTTGCAGCGTGCCTCATACCAGAGATCCTCGCACTGCCCGTGGCTATTGCATGTCCCCCCTAAGCAGACCGGCTGGCGAGAGCAGTCACCGTCCACACCGTAGTAATCACCTACAGGAGTACAGGAGAGCTTAGTTTTAGTAAGAGATTTACGGCGCTCGTAACTGCATATGGTCATATTACGAGGGCGCGAAAAAATTTGGTTCTGTTCGCAACAGCACATTGCACAGTCCAGTTCGGGTCAACACTTCAACTAAATTGCTAAAATATTAAAATTTGGTGTAAATACATTTTTAATTTAAAATAACTTTTTCGAGGAGTACAGGAGAGGGTAAAACACTTTTCAACGTACAATTTAAGGTGTATCCTTGTATTTATGGTAATTCTCATTAAGTGCACCCAAAGCCTGCATTTCTGCTCTTGAGACTCACAAAAGAACGGACGTTGTTAGACGCTCTGGAGTCGGCAATGCTAAATTGTGATTTTTTTTAAACTAGCGTGAATGAAAAAAAATCAATATAAAAAAAAGGCCTCTTCAAAGTCTGTCGAACTTTTGGAACACGAACGACATAGCATTGGTGCAGATACTCAGAAAAGATGGTATCTGCGCCTATAATAGAAAGCTGTAATTTTACAACTTTATCCATCGGGCACACAATTCGCTATGAAGTAATTCCTCCAAATACAACTTTACGTGTCTAACATAATCGTGAATATTTGCATATTTTTTCGAAAGTTTATAAAAGTTACCATGAAGTTTCTCTATGAAAAGTACAAATCGATTTTAGTTCTAGAATACATCTTCAATGTAGATCTAATACACGAACAGTATCTGTTACACTCCAGAAATTCCTTACTTTTCTTAAAACACTAAGTCTAGGTTTTGTAAGTTGACTGAATAATAGGGATAACTTCTCGTAATTGGGTTATAAGAATAATTTCTAGCTTTCCAGGGACACAGAATCAGCACCAGACTTTTCCAGCTTTATTTTTCGTTTCTATGACCATTTGCAATAACTGACAATGTGACTAATTTCTTTACATTCATAATTGTGTCCGCGCATATTTCCGACACAAAAACTAAGAATGAATGTGTTAGCTGTCGTTATTTTTATTCCATACAAGAAGTTTATCTCTACCCATGTATTTACATGGTTTTGTGGGGTTTTTAATTGCTTAGATTCTATATTATATCTTTTTAGCTGTATGCAGGCTGCCACAGACACAGCATGATTCATGAACAAACGCAGAGTAACTTTCTCTTGTTTAATAGTAAAATAAGAGCTAACGCTGATCGTCTTTAGTTAAAAAATGCAGATGTGCATCTTTCTTCTCTTATAACTTGGCTATTTCTACTCGCGCAGATTTAAGATTTCTCATGGTAAAAGACATGATATTCGTAGTCAGTTTAACACAGATTTTGGAGAGATCTGTCGTGCCTTTTTAAAATTAACAATCAGTTGTTGTTCATAAGTTTGTAACTAAAATAGGACAAATTGGGTACTCTACTAACACTTGTCTAGAACAAAAGCTAAGGCACAGAAATTAACCATTTTAACGCAGAATTAATCTCAAGACACTGAACTTTTAGTACATCCGCGTAATGGTTTGGTATGTGGGATGGGGAAGAAGTTATAACGTTTTAAACATAGTCAAAAATGCGAACTTCCTAACCGACACCGGCAAAGTCGCTTCAGGGCTCATTAACCCCGTGACCCCGAGCCGGGGAGCTCCGGCGGGCTGCTGAGTCACGTTAACTAAAAGTAACAGAATCGGGCGAAAATGACGCCATGGCCCGTACAATTTATGGGCTTAAACCGTGAAGCGCAGTGAATATGGCCCATAGGATTTACCGGACTGTGACAGAGGTTGTTTTGATACCAATTATAAGGGAGGTTACTGCTAAAATCTTGTAATTATTATTGAAGTACCTATCATATTATTATTATTAATATCCTTATCATTATTATTATCAATGCTATTATCATGATCATATTGTTATTATGATTATTAACATTATAGTTACATTATTATTATCATCATTAATGTCATTATAAATATCATTACTGTTTTGTTTCCCCGGGTAGTAGAGATCTCCGTTGAGTGTGAGGTCATCCATACAGCCGCGGTAGTCCTGAGCAAACATGTCGGTGACGGTGATACCAGACGCCTCGGGACTCCCTACGTACATCCAGCGCACCATGCTTGGCTGATTCTCATCGTAGGAGAGAGAAGTGACGCACGAGCTGTCGGCGCTGGAGGGCGGCGGTGTGCAGAACTCATCCGGCAGGCTCACTGTGATGTTGTTCGTCAGGTGGACGCGGAGGACGTGGAAGTTTGCATCGTTGAGCGAGGTCTCCGTGTTGAGTTCCATTGATTTGGCCGAGTCGTACACTTGGTAGACTACTTGGATCTGTGGGGGAGGAGGAGGAGGTTAGGGGTGGAGGGGTGGTGGTGATAGGGTTGGTGTGGTGGTGGTGAT